CGTCTGGTTTTCTGACACAGACAGACACTACTATCTGACTGGCTGACAGAGCCGTCACCACCTGACTCACTAACAGGGACCTTATCAGACTGGCTAACACAGACATCATAATCTGACTGGCTGACAGGGATATCACCAACTGACTGACTGATATGGACATCACCATCTGACAGGCTGACAGTGACATCACCATCTGACTGGCTGACAGGAACATCAGCAACTGACTGACTGACAGGAACATCACCAACTGACATGCTGACAGGGACATCACCATCTGACTGGCTAACAGGGACATCATTTTTGAAAGTCTAGCATTTTTTGTAGTATCTTCCTGAGAGTTTTCTTGTCACATTTATTGCTGATCTTCTTTTTCTTTCTTAGGTTTATATTGCCTATAATTTTTTTTATCAAAAATTGCATGTAAAATTTCAAGACTTGACACCAATTTTGTTGTCAATGAAGAAAACACTTCTAAAAAGAATATCTATATTTAGAAATAAAGATGAAGTTTGATGGGGGTAAAACAAGTTAAATTATCAATAACATCTTTATGGAGCAAAGGAGTTAGTAAATATTTTCAGTTCTGTTCATGCGTGTAACTTTGACAGAAAAGTAAAAGGTTGTATGTCAATGTTACATACACGAAGACCATAAGATGAAAGTGGTGTGCTTAATAGTCAACTTTGCAGAAATAATATTATTGCTATCCAGTAATATTTAATTAATCATTTAGGTTATAAAATGTTATATAAAAGTCTGACTTTAACGAAATAATACCTTTGCATGTAACATAAAAAAAATCTTGACACAAAATATTGTTGTCAATGTTACTAACAAGTGTTAAAAGACAAATTAAACATGAAAACATTCAAACGCTTTAATTGTGTAAAATAAAAATAAAATGATAGCTCCATATGGCAGTAAGATTTGTTTATGCATGTTATACTGGCCAGAACATGTAAAAGTCTAAGTTAGTAGACTATGTCAATGTTACATACACAATTTCTTTATGAAAAAAAGTTTAATGGTAAACCTTGGATTTACTTTATACATTATTTTTTAAAATAAGTATCAAAATAATAACTTTGAATATTAAAAATTTGATTAACTGTTGATTTGGACACAGTAAAATCTTCTCATGTGACACAAAAAAGACCTGACACAAAAAATTGCTGTCCATGTTACTTATAAAGTTATCATATAAGCACCAAAGAAGAAATTGTGTGATGACAATATTTCAGATGGTAGTCATTTATAAACTCAGATAAATTCAATATAAGGCTCATATCAGAGGTTTGGAAATCAATGCTTTTAAAACATTATAATTCTGGGTTATGCATGTAACATTGACGGGAACACCAACAAATGATGAGAAAAAATTGCAAGTCAATCAAGGAAAAAAATAAACACAAATAATTAAAACTCATTTATTTCTTTAATATAACTTATATGAAGCAAATTTAAATTTCAACAAGATTTTATTGATTGAATAATTGTATGCACATTTTTGTTTCCGTTTTCTAACTATAGTTTGCCTCAACCAAATGTTATGAAACGTATACACAATGCTTATTACTACATAATACAGATTAAGTACGAAATTTGGTGGCAACACTTTTACCATTCTTGAGTTATGTCCCTTTATAAACATAAAAATTGCTGAATTTTTTAGTTTGTCTCAACCAAATGTTATAAAACTTATACACAACCGTTCTAGAGTTATGCATGTTTACAAATAGAAAAATTGCTAAATTTTTAGTTTCTGTTCTCTACTTAAGTTAGCCTCAACCAAATGTTATGAGACTTACACACAATGCTTATTACCACAAAACTCAGATCAAGTTCAAATTTGGGAAGCGTCACTTTTACCGTTCTTCAGTTATGTCCCTTTATAACTATATGATATGCAAGCGGGGGCATCATCAATCTGTGTCCACATGTGGACACTATCCACATTTATTTTAATTAGAACCATTTCTTTTGTATGTGGCAATAAAGATTAACCCACTTTGATATTTAAACAATGTTTTTTCTCCATATTTGCATGATTTCTTTATTTTTTTATTGGATAAACACTATTGACCTTAAAATTTCATTAGGGAATTCTTGCCCATATCAGAAAAGTGCCTTGCAACAATATATTTTCGGTTTCATTGTGACAAAAATCAGAAAAATTTGATATCAAACATGCAGTTTTCTTTAAATAAGTAATCCCTTTGAAAAACACACATTGTATGTACCGAATTGTTGAATTACACTGACTTGATTGTACACATGCATAATCCTGAATAGTTAATTATATGGAAAATTCAATTTCAAGGTTGAAGAAATAAGGGTTTGATTACAAATCCAAATACAAAAATAAGGTGTGGTATGATTGCCAATGAGACAACTCTCCACAAGTGACCAAATGTGATATTAAAGACAGGTCCTTTGAATCTACAAAAACAAGGTGGAACGAACAAAATTGCTGAGAGAATGACCAATTTATTTCTTTGGTTAGGGTTTGGCTTTTGAGCAAAAGGTTTTGCGAGGATAGAATAATCATTTTGACCTGTTATAAGGCTGGATTACTTTTTGTTGAAAAAAACATTTTCCGTTGTGTACACACCTATTTCTCTTTCCAAATCGTATGTACATCTGAATGTACAGAAAATTCATTTTCAGCATATCTTGGGCAAAATTATTGATCTTCAGTTCTAAACACCATCACATTCATTTCATTCAGCATCTCTTATCCCCATCACAAAATATAGAAATGTCCTTCCCTTGCTAATAAAACTACTCTGAATCCGCTCAATTGCTTCTTTTGTACTCGGTGGATAATATAAAAAAAAACTCCTTCTTAAAACCAAATACATTGTGTGTTCTGCAAAATTTATTTTTTTCATGTAGATTTTATTTTGGTGTTCACATTTTCTCTCTATCTATTATAGTTTTTAAGCTAATATTGTAAAATCTCAAAATTTAGCTAAAAAATTCTTTTCTGGCAATAACTGGTAAAGAAATTCACATTTTCAGCAATGTTAACCAATTGGTAAATCATATCTTTAAGCTCATTTAAGCTGTATATTGCCTCTCTTTAGCTATTAAAATTTTCAAGAACAGCAAAAAAAAATATGACAATTTCAGTTATGTCAAAGTAGTTTAACTCTTTTTCTCATTGATCTGTTTTTCTGAAAGCATATCTTTATCTTTTATAGTTCTTAAATTAAAAACCCAAAACGCAGAAAGGGAGGAAAATCATAATAAAATGAAGTTTCTAAAACAATAGTAGAACCCAATCTATACAATGCCAATGCAAAATGTAGTTCCTTAAACAATAGCATAACTCATCTTTTACAATGCCAATGATGTGTAAACAATAGCATGACTCAGTATATTCTATGCCTTTACAACGTGAAGTTTCTTTTTTTTTTTTGTACAGTTTATTTATTTATTTATTTAGGGACAATTTGTCACACCTGGGATTTACATGAATAAAACAGTCTCTTGGTCCCAGGTTCCTTCATATTTTTTTTTTAAATATCAAAGACTACTAGCTAATTTTATTTTTAAAGAAACCATTATTTTATCAAAATGCTTATTGTATTTCAATACTATGCGAATAAAAGTCTTAAATGTGTTCATCAAAAGAAACATTTTGTTTTATGGTGTATAATAGGAGTGATTTATATTGTACAGTGTGCAAATGATTACTTGTTACACTTAGAAATATAATCTTCATACAAAAACGATAAAATAATAATATAATTTGCACTAGAATGGACATGTTGTGTACTGTATTTTCTTTCCTTTTTTTTTGTGAATTATATCTTTTATTTCAAATCACCTGGATACATAAACACTAAGCAGTCCAGGGCAGCTGACAGAGGGGTCCCTGCAAAGAATAAGCAAATTCGACTATTAATAGTGATTACAACATTTGAGATAAATGGTCAAGTTTGTCTATTCCGAATAATTTTTTTTGTTTGATTTAGGCAATCATTTTGATAAAATCATTCATATCTTTCTTAAAAATACGGAGGATGGATGTTTTATTATATGCTGTTTTGTTGAATTTAATATTGTTCCGACCTTTCCAAATACTAAATTTTCCCGTAAACACTATAAAATTCCCAATATTTATTTGCGTTTTATCAAGATCTTGATTATATCCAATAATCACGCTTTGGACATCAAAATCAGTTTCATTAAATATATAAACATATACTGGTAATTAAAATACATGTATCATGTTGCCTACTACTGTTACGAAACATTTTTATTGGGATTTGGTCAACCCTTAGGCTTTTGTCTTAAAAAAAACCTGTAGGCTTTTGTCTTAAAAAAACACCCTTAGGCTTTTGTCTTAAAAAACACCCTTAGGCTTTTGTCTTAAAAAAAAAACCTTAGGCTTTTGTCTAAAAAAAAACACCCTTAGGCTTTTGTCTTAAAAAAAACCCTTAGGCTTTTGTCTTAAAAAAACACCCTTAAGCTTTTGTCTTAAAAAAACTTTCCGTGATGTATTTACAAATAGTTAAGTTCAATATTAAACATTTATTTCCTTTGCCGTAAGAAGATTTTATGATTTGCCTTGGGCATTTGTACACCCAAGAAATTCATGTCTTATTGTTCTTTGACATAACCAGTATATATCAATAATTCAATATTTATTATATGATATGCTATTTATGTTATTTTATGTTTTAATTATATGCCTGAAGTAAGCTTAAGCAGGATATTGGCAATTCTGTGTACATGGTGTCAGCAGCATTTAAACTTTACATAAATTCATGTAAGGTGACATCAGGGAGAGACAAGTCACAATGTTAGAAAGTAAAATAATGTTTTGTTTAGTGTCATGTACATGTAGAATAGTCTCAACTTTAATATCAAATATTTGTTAAGCTATCAACATTTACATTAATATACATTGAAATAATAAATTATGTTAAATGAAATACAATGTAGAAGTTTATCACCATTTTTACCATGATTTTTTCTTTTTTTATTTACAGAACTCTGGTTTTGGTTCTCCAAGTGTCTATCATGCACTGATAATCATATTTTTAGAATTTTTTGCATGGGGGTTGTTGACATCTCCTATCATTATGGTAAGTTTATCACTTATGGTTATGATTTGTTTTAATGTAATTATATTTCCTACTCAATGGACATAATAATGCAGAAGCTTTTTATGATATATCTGCCAGGAAGAACTGTTTTACATCCTCACCAGAAAATAATATTCCTTAACAGTAAAGTAAAACTTGTATTACTCTTTTGTCCACAAATATACATTAAAATTTGCTGTCTATATAATTTTGATCTGATATATATATTGTTCATTGAAAAAGTAAAAAGTTCATATTGCTTTAATTATGGTTATATTGACAGGTATTAAATCAGACATTTCCTAACCACACATTTCTGTTGAATGGACTTATACAAGGTGTAAAGGTTGGTAAAACTTGTAATACAATAATTGAAAATATAGTAGATCAAATCACACGTAGTAGTTTCCATTTATCCTTATGATTCCATATTTCGAGTTCCTGATGATTTTAATTAACCATTTAAACAAATCTCAAACAAAACCATTCAAACAAATCTCAAACAAACCATTCAAATAAATCTCAAACAAAACCATTCAAACAAATCTCAAACAAAACCATTCAAACAAATCTCAAACTAACCAATCAAACAAATCTCAAACAAACCAAACAAATCTCCATCAAATCTCAAACAAACCATTCAAACAAACCATTCTAACAAATCTCAAACAAACCATTCAAACAAATCTCAAACAAACCATTCTAACAAATCTCAAACAAACCATTCTAACAAATCTCAAACACACCATTCAAACAAATCTCAAACAAACCATTCAAACAAATCTCAAACAAACCATTCTAACAAATCTCAAACAAACCATTCTAACAAATCTCAAACAAACCATTCTAACAAATCTCAAACAATCAATTAGAAAAGGAAGGATAAAGGGTGTGTGCAAGCTAGTATGATTGCCAATGAGATAACTATCCACCAGAGTTCAAATGACATGGATATTAGCAATTGTAGGTCACCATACGGCCTTCGACAATGAGAAAAACTCACACCGCATAGGAAGCTACAAAAGGCCCTGACGTGAAAAATGTCAAACAACTCAAACAAGAAAACTAATGGTCTTATTATAACAATACAATTTAAGAGGAAAAAAATGTGACAATCATGAACCAACAACAACCACTGAATTACAAGCTTCTGACTTGGGATAGGTACATAAAGAGTGTGGCGGGTTAAACATGTTTGTGAACGCTAAACCCTCCCCCTAAACTTGGACAGTGGTGTTACAGCACAACATAAGAAGCAACTGTAAAAATCAGTTACAAAAGATAGATTGAACGAAGCACAAAAAACAGCTAAAATAAAAATAACACAAAGCACTGATATGATAAGAGTACTTACAGTTACTGAAAGCTATTTGAAAGCTGATTACAACTAATAGATAAATCATGTTTTCCCAGACTTAAGTATCAATCAGTACACATCAAACAGATTAAGTGTAAAGACGTCATAAACATTTCTAGAAATGCATGACCATGTTCAATGCCAAAATATAAGTAAACAGGATTAACAGGATGTATGATCACAAGTACCCATAACGGGACAAATATAGCAATATATATTTATTACGAGTTTGCCCTAGACACTGTGTCACACTTTGAGACAACTGTTATTTAGCACAACTGCTTATCCTGTCCACTTTGGTGGATAATTCAAATACTGGACTGGATATTAGTTTTTGTCAATCTGCAATATGGGAAATTATGTTAATGTGTCTTCTAAGTGAAGTAAAAGAACTATTCAAAACTTGTAGATGATGATTTCTGTCTTGAAAATAAAAGTATCAATTGTAATGCCGACAATTGCTTTGTGTCATTACTAACAATCAGAAGGTTTATAGTGGATGTTATTGATATTTAGATGACATCTTTTATAAAGTGATTGTTACAGTTAGTTATTCTTCGGAATCATACATTTTATATGTATGGTAATTATATTTAATTTTGGATGTTCAGATCTACCATCTATTTCTTGCTCAAAGGCTGTCTGCATGAAGGTCGGACAAACTATCTTAAATTGTTATATGTCTCTTCTTAATTATATTCATTAAAAATTAAATTAGTTTAATATGTTGCCAAGTTTGTTAAGGTGTTTGTTTACAGATAACAATGAATGTGAAGATTAACCCATATTAAGTTAATGTATACTTTTTGTACAACAAATTGTACTAAAATTGAAGGAATCTAATTGGTAGAATTACTACTATTTACAGGGAATGTTGTCATTTTTAAGTGCACCATTAATTGGTGCTTTATCTGACGTATGGGGAAGGAAGATATTTCTTCTGTTAACAGTGACATTTACTTGTCTGCCCATACCACTGATCTCTATTAGTCCCATGTAAGTATTAATAGGTTAAAACATTTTTATATGCATATATTTTTCTTGGTATATTTACTTATAGAATTTTTATCATTGGTCAAATCAGGTTCTTGCAATGAAAATTATATAAAAGATATGATTAAATGAGGGGCAATTTGTCCATACAGTCAACAGTGATCTTATATCAGCTGTGATGACAAAATTTAAAAGAAAATCTCTTTTGAAAATTGTAGATTAAAACATAGCTAGAAAGTAATCTTATATGAAAAAATTTGTAAGGGTTCCACGGAACCCAGTGTCTTGCCTACTTTTGCTGTTAGTCGCAGTAAGAAGCTTCTGTCCAAGTTTGGTAAAAATCCAGGATGGTTTATGAATCTAATAAATGTTTTAAAAACTTTTAACTGCAGACTGTATGTAATGTTAACTGGAAGAAAAACTAAGTCCATTTATAAGTAATAAACGGAAAAACAGGAAATAAATTTTTACAAAATTTCCTTCTAGACACTAGCTTTTGATCATAAACAAGCTTCTGTCCAAGTTTGGTACAAATCCAGGATATTTTAAAGAAGTTATTAAAATTTTTGAAAACTTTAACCACAGAGTGAATGTAATGTTAACTGGAAGAAAAACTAAGTCCATTTATAAGTAAAATATGGATATTAAAACAGGATTTTTGTTTTTTTGTACAAAATTTACTTCTGGATACTATCTTATGATCATAAACAAGCTTCTGTGCAAGTTTGGTTGAAATCCAGGACGACGGAATGTAGGATCGCTATGTCTCGCTTTTGCGACAAAAGTCACAGGCTCGACAATAAAGAAATGTGGGATTATTACCAATGAGACAACTATTGACCAGAGTTCTAATGATGAAGATAAAAACAATTATAGGCCACCGTATGGCCTTCAACAATGAGAAAAACCAATACTGTATAGTCAGCTATAAAAGGTCACAACATGGAAAATGTGAAACAGTTTAAACGAGAAAAATAACGGCCTAATTTACAATTTACAATACAGAAATATGACACATGTACCAACAAAAACCACTGAACTACAGGCGCCTGACAAAGGACAGGCACATAAAGAATGTGGCAGGGTTAATCATGTTTTTGCTTCATACATTAAAAATGTGTCCATGATCAATCTTATAAAATTATTAAAAGAAACATTCAATTCTTATAATTACATTTTTATGTTACAAGCATGAAATTAAGAATTATATCAAGCTTTTTGTTTTTCCATGCATTGTTTAAACATTGTCACGGATAGCACATGCAGCTTTTTGTATTTTATATGGAAATAAAATATTATAATGGAGTGTCTCTCGATTGGAAATAAAATATTATAATGGAGTGCCTCTCGATTGGAAATAAAATATTATAATGGAGTGCCTCTCGATTGGAAATAAAATATTATAATGGAATGCCTCTCAATTGTTATCAGCCAATCAGAATTACTGATTCTAATGAACCATCCATCTAATGTAATTATTATAAGTTATCACTGCTATGTAAATTAAATACTTTCCTCTTTACTGGTATGTCTTGGAATAGCATACATGTACATAAAAGCATAAGATTTTACCTTTTTGCCACAAAATTATGCAACACTTGTTTAACATTGGAAAACACTCCATCTTTATTACACTACAGATATTGCAGTTTACTTTCCATTAGATAATGAAGTAAACAATATCAATTTTAAAGCTCACAATTCTTGAAGAAATAGATTTTTATGTGATTGGAAGAACAGTTGTATTAGATAAAGAAATGTAAACAAAGTGATTTGTTGTGTGTTTTAAACTTAAAATGCACTAACGGATTATTACAGGATCTGTTAAAAATAAATTAAAGTACAGCAAATTACACACTTAAATTTAAGATTGTTAAGAAACCATAAATTGATTTTATTCCATATATTCAGACCATAAACATAGATACCAGTGTATAATAATCAGATTTTAGTAATGCTACTTTGTTTTGTATTTTTCAGGTGGTATTTTACTATGTTGTCACTGTCAGGCTTATTCTCTGTAACATTTAGTGTTGTATTTGCATATGTGGCAGATATCACATCAGATGAGGAGAGAGGTCAAGCATATGGACTGGTAGGTCATAAAATCCAAGTATGTCTTGGACTGATATCCCCCCAAAAAAAAAAAAATGTAAAGCTTTATTTCAAAAGAACATCAATAGTTAATGAATTTTGATATGCCTATTAGCGATGAATATACAATGTATGATGTTATACTGTTTTCTGTCCATCCATCAATCCACCAGAAAAGTATTCAAATACAACCGCAAAGATTAATCTAATTATCTAGTTGAGGCAAGTCTTAGACATGCTGTTTCTGGAGGAGCCAAGTTTGTGATTAGGCCAGTTTAATGGGGACCACTAATGTTAAGGCTATGATATTTGGTATGCAGTTGTATAAACAAAGGTACATCTCATTTCAATGGAGAAAATTTGGCCTTGTTCCTTCAGTCAGGGTCTGCTAACTTTAATCTATGACATTTGATAAAACAGACAGATAAAAAATGTCATTAATCAATTGCACTTGCTTGTTTGTCTTATTAAATTTATGACTTTTTAATATCCTTATCAACATCTGAGTCTTTATTTGATTGGCCTGTTTTGCCTGGTTGCACACAGTGTAAAACTGGCTGAAATGTGATATCGGGGGGTGGCTTGGCCAGCGAGCAAACAGGGGTTGGATAAAGTGGTGACCTATTTTATGTAATTAACTCCTCCTTTAGTTTTCATTCCAAATCCCTGAAACTTCACAAAAAATTGTGCCCATATTGAATTTGTTCACCTGTTATTATGGAATTATATGAGCAAAATTTGATGAAGAAATGACAAATTTCATGTTAATTCCTCCTTCCGAAGTCCTTCACCATTCAGATCCTGGACACTACTCAAAAAGATTTGACACATGTTTAAAGTTTTCACCAGCTTTTATAGAAGCCAGAAAGGTGACCTATAGTTGTTAACTATTATGTCATTTAGTCTCTGGAAGATTGTCTCATTGGCAATCATTCCACATCTTCTTATTTTTATATTTATAGAATAGTGTGCCTTTTTTTCCAGACTTGAGAACATAGTTTATTTTCAATAAAATTTTCAAAGAGGTACCAATTCTTTTAATTATCTCCTTCAGCAGTTATAAATCCAGATCCTTAAAACTTCACAGAAATTTACACACCTTTTAAAAATTGAGCACCTCCCTTTATTGAATTGTCTAAAGATTCCCCTCTCCCATTTTTGATATTTTATATTTCCATGAAACCGTACTTTGACAATAGGGTACAATTCATCCTTGGTTATATTTTATAAATAGTCATAATATGAAGTCAGTGATATCTTTATAAACAAATCTCAATTGTGAAGAAACATTATGTATCACCCAACCATTTGAGTCTTCGATCCATTTAAATTATTTTATCTTAATTTATACATTTATCTCTAGGCACTCTGGCTTCCTCCCCCAATAAAAACTGATCGCCACGAAATAGTCAATAGTGCTGAAAGTGGTGTAAAACACCAATTAATTAATTTATACATCATTTCCCTTAGATTTCAACATGGAATATCTCGAAACTAAGTTAAGTTTCCAATATACCAAAAAATTAAACATGTATAACTGTATATGATGTCCAAATGATCTTTTTACTAATAATTTTCAACATGTGCAGATCTGAAAATCACTAGAGATTAATATAGCAATGTTTAAAATAATATAAAAGGCAATTAAGTGTAACTATCTTGGCTGAATTCTTTTACATATCTCCAGTGTCAGTTGCTTTTGTTCCTGATGGTATATTTATCAGACAATTAACAGGAAACTTGTCATTAAAAGTGGATTATGTGACTAAGAAATTGGAGATAAAATCGACTGGCTTTAGCAATTATATGTATTTTCTTTTTATTTTGGTAAGAGCTAAGGAAATAAGTAGCAAATCATTCAAAGAGGTTTTATCATCACTCTTTTAATCTTATCTCCAGATGTTGAAGTCATTGACAATTAAATAGTGTAAAACAAAACTAACATTTTTGTCGAGCCTGCGACTTTTGTCGCAGAAAGCTCGACATAGGGATAGTGATCCGGCGGCGGCGGCAGCGTTAGCTAACTTCTTAAAAGCTTTATATTTTAGAGGGTGGAAGACCTGGATGCTTCATACTTTGTATAAGGATGCCTCATGTTACGAAGTTTCCGTCAGTCACATGTCCAATGTCCTTGACCTCATTTTCATGGTTCAGTGACTACTTGAAAAAAAAGTTAAGATTTTTTGTAATGTTAAATTCTCTCTTATTATAAGTAATAGGATAACTATATTTGGTATGTGCGTACCTTGCAAGGTCCTCATGCCCGTCAGACAGTTTTCACTTGACCTCGACCTCATTTCATGGATCAGTGAACAAGGTTAAGTTTTGGTGGTCAAGTCCATATCTCAGATACTATAAGCAATAGGTCTAGTATATTCGGTGTATGGAAGGACTGTAAGGTGTACATGTCCAACTGGCAGGTGTCATCTGACCTTGACCTCATTTTCATGGTTCAGTGGTTATAGTTAAGTTTTTGTGTTTTGGTCTGTTTTTCTTATACTGTATGCAATAGGTCTACTATATTTGGTGTATGGAAGGATTGTAAGGTGTACATGTCTAGCTGGCAGGTGTCATCTGACCTTGACCTCATTTTCATGGTTCAGTGGTTATAGTTGAGTTTTTGTGTTTTGGTCTGTTTTTCTAATACTGTATGCAATAGGTCTACAATATTTGGTGTATGGAATGATTGTAAGGTGTACATGTCTAGCTGGCAGGTGTCATCTGACCTTGACCTCATTTTCATGGTTCAGTGGTCAAAGTTAAGTTTTTGAGTTTTGGTCTGTTTTTCTTATACTGCATGCAATAGGTCTACAATATTTGGTGTATGGAATGATTGTAAGGTGTACATGTCTAGCTGGCAGGTGTCATCTGACCTTGACCTCATTTTCATGGTTCAGTGGTCAAAGTTAAGTTTTTGAGTTTTGGTCTTTTTTTCTAATACTGCTTGCAATAGGTCTACTATATTTGGTGTATGGAATGATTGTAAGGTGTACATGTCTAGCTGGCAGGTGTCATCTGACCTTGACCTCATTTTCATGGTTCAGTGGTCAAAGTTAAGTTTTTGAGATTTGATCTTTTTTTCTAATACTATATGCAATAGTTCAACTACATTTGGTGTATGGAAATATTTTATGATCTATATGTCAGTCACGCAGGTTTTATTTGACCTTGACCTCAATTTCAAGGTTCATTGCTCAGTGTTAAGTTTTTGTGTTTTGGTCTGTTTTTCTTAAACTATAAGCAATAGGTCAACCATATTTGTTGTATGGAAGAATTGTTAGCTGTACATGCCTGCCTAGCATGGTTCATCTGACCTTGACCTCATTTTCATGGTTCATTGGTCAATGTTTAGTTTACTTGGTTAATGTTAAGTTTATGTGACAGTTGTAATAAAGCTTTATATTTAGGACTATCAACATAATATCAATGATTAGTAAAGAAGGCGAGACATTTCAGCGTGTGCACTCTTGTTGACAATTGAGTATAATTCATTCTTACACATCCTTGGTTATATTTTATAAATAACCATAATATGATGTCAGTTATATCAGTCCAATGTTTTTACTTGCAACGAAAATTGCACGTATGAGATAACATCACAAGTTTTCAACTTTGACAAAAAATGTCAATTGATTGATTATTTGAGCCTTTTCAGATAATTTGTATATAGATTTAGATTTACCCAAATGTTAAAGTTTATGAAACTTTAATACTTTTGTCAAATATGGTTATGATTACATAGAACTTTGAAGGAATCATTATTGGGAACAACTATCAATTCAAGGGAGATAATAAGTAGACCATTTTAAGCTATATTTTCCAAAGTCATAAAAAAAAAACATTTTACCATTTATTGGATTTGAAATATCATATACTAAATTGTGAGATAACTAAACTGATCATTTTGCAGAAATTTCCCTGGGTTTGAAAAAAACCCTATTTAAGTACATTGTATAACATTTTTTATGCCCCTTCCATAGCGGAGTGGGCATAAAGTGTTACCCTTGTCCGTCTGTACGTCCGTCCGTATGTCCCAAAGTTGGTTTCCGTTCTCTAATTTTAGTTTGCCTCAACCAAATGTTATGAAACTTATACACAATGCTTATCACCACAAAATACAGATCAAATTTGAATTTTGATGGTGTCACTAAAACAGTTCTAGAGTTATGCCCCTTTACAAATGGAAAAATTGCTGAATTTTTCGTTTCCGTTCTCCAACTTAAGTTTACCTGAACCAAATGTTATGAAACTTATACACAATGCTTATTACCACAAAATACAGATCAAATTTGAATTTTTGTGGCGTCACTTTAACCATACTAAAGTTATGCCCCTTTACAAATGGAAAAATTACTGAATTTTTCGTTTCCGTTCTCTAACTTAAGTTTGCTTCAACCAAATGTTATCAAACTTATACACAACACTTATTACCACAAAACTCAGATCAAGTACAAATTTGGATAGGATCACTATTACAGTTCTTCAGTTATGTCCCTTTATAACTTTGCATATGATATGCAAGCGGGGGCATCATCTGTGTCCCATGGACACATTCCCTATTTATTTAAAAGAACTTTGTGACATTTACAAGAGAATTTCTAAATTGTTAAGAGCCAATCTGCCAGAAAACTATGCAAAATCAAAAATATTGTCGGAATGGCAGGTTGGAACTTCTGAAATCTCATATATAAAGGAAAAAGAAAAATGCATCTTAGACTTTGTTGCATCATGTCTATTTTTAGAGACATCCTCATTTGCTAAATGCAAAATTACATGATTTGTATTACAGGTGTCAGCAACATTTGCTGCCAGTTTAGTTACCAGTCCAGCATTAGGAGCCTACCTAGAGAATGCCTATAGTGATAATTTAGTTGTATGGCTAGCCACAGCTGTAGCCGTATTAGATGTATTGTTTATATTATTGTTTGTACCAGAATCTTTACCGGAGAAAATTAGACCAGTTAGTTATGGTTCCCAGATCTCATGGGAACAGGCTGATCCCTTTGGAGTAAGTCAAAATTTATAAAAAAATATGTAATTAAATTTTGTGCAAATGGAACTATTTAGGTTTTACTTAAGAAGTTGATATTTTATACTTGTTCAATTATATGTCTGTTACAAGATCCATATATTAAGGAAAGATTATAAAATTTATTTGGTTTTAAAATGGACAGCTGATGAAAACCGTCCCTTGCATTGTACGACCTTTATTGACAATACTTCCAACTTCTGAAAAAATAAGGTCATGAATTATTAATTATTTTTATGAAGGTGTATAACCATGGTAACAATACCTTTATGTTATGCAATATGTAAAGATACACCCATATTCAGTAATGTTATATGCAATTAATCACAATAATATTTCTCTTATTGTTAAACTCCTTTACTTATATTTAATGAACAATTTTATCTACTTATGAAGATTTAACACTTTTTATATGAATCAGAATGAAAAAAAATATATATTGGGTTTGGAGTTGAAAAAGGTCAGAGCGTTCAAACCATACTTTCTTTCTGTTTTGTTTACTTTGAAAGAATAATAATTTATTTTTCAGGCATTAAAGAGGATAGGTGCAGACAAGTTAATATTATTATTATGTTGTACAGTATTTTTATCATATTTACCAGAAGCAGGGGAATACTCATCATTTTTTGTTTATTTACGATTAGTAAGTATTGAATCAATTTCTCATTTTTCTGTACGTTTGGTAATAAGATGGACAATTTTCACATTGGAAGGGGGAGGTTTGTACAAAAAAAAGTTGGCAATGGTACCCAATGACTTGAAATTAGATAGTTATTTCTATGTATATATTATAAGTAGGAATGAGATATATTTCAACAAGTACTGGTAATGGATCTAATAGACCCCTCTTTTTCAAGGTAAATGAAATATCCTTTTCTAAGTAATATCTGCAGTCCCTTCTTTTCCATTTCAGATTACTGTTGATTCAGAAATTATTGCGAGGTTTTTATTTATGCAAATAATGCGACTCCTTAAGTATCCCAAAAATAAGAACTCGCATTCTGATATCTGATACGTATATCTGTATGAAGGTTTTCCTAAAATCGCAATAATTAAACTTTCATTTTTTTCATTCTTCAAAATCGCAATAATAAATGCACGCAATAATTTCTGAATTTACAGTATGCTGTTGGCTGTTTAAGTGCAATCAACACAGTGTTTGTGTCTATGCTTACAACCCATTCTTTTAATTATTGTATTTTAATCTATATAAAAATATGTAGATTATCTTTTCTATGTTTATTTACAGTGTTAACTTAAGTAAGACATTAATACAAGGATTGATTAAAAACTGAAAGGAAATAACAAACAAAAAATCTCTTGTTAAAACATTCATACAGTATCCTCCCTTTGTACTACAATTGTACTTAAGAATAAAGATGAGGGAGAAAAAAATTGGGTTGACATTGTTACAGATATATCAAAAAACAAATGTAGTATTATTGTAGCTTTATAATAAAGTTTCTTCATAAAACCAATTGTATATAGTAGTGGGATGTCAAATCTTCACTTTGTTTGTTCTTTAGCATCTCCCATGCACACTTTGAGGGATTTAAATGCCTTTTTCACAGGATTTTTTATCCTCATTGCTATTGTGCCTTTGATTTTATTTTTTATTTCTAGAACCTGATCTTTTTAATGAATATCTTCTACACATCTTAAAATTTATTCTATTTATAACATGACTTAATTTATCGTGCTGAATGCACAAATAAAAACATTTTTGCTCTTCCAAAATGAGGTAATTAAGGAGAGGCTAAAGATACCAAAGGGACATTCAAACTCATAAGTCGAAAACAAGTAGAATGCGCCATGGCCATAAAAAAGACTTAACTATTTAAGGCATTGTGAACCTCCCATTTCTTATTTTGATAAAATTGGTTTCTTGGTGCTTTTTAGCAAAGAGCATGTCATATGTATATATTTCTTCTAGTTTCAAAGTAGCAGATCACAGCTTTATATTCAACTTGGTGATTAAATCTCAATAAATCTTTCAAAAGGTCAAAGATCTTGGGGAAACAGAATCTTGAGAATGAAAGCGGTTCCCTCACTCCCTAGTCTTAAAATATCATGTACATGATCTATAAAAACAAGATCGCCCTGAACATGCATGAAATATTTGTCACTGGACATAAAGCAAACAACAGTCAATCAATATAAAAAAAACAAGAAATTTGTTACACATATTGTATGAGTGAAGACTTTGCAGCAAGCCCTATTAAAGATATTATCATAAGTTTTTTTATTAAAGAATTTTCAATAACATTAAATAATTTAGATATGGATTTTGTTTGTTAAACTTAATAAAATGATGAACAAAAATGTATCATATTGAACTCTGCTAATATTTTACCGAATGGCAACAAGGTGTCCTGATTTTTGTTTCTGATATGGATATTTTCTGTGTATAAATTGGTATATATTGAGTTCGTCAAAGGTCAACATCAAAATGCTAGCTTTGATGGACTGAATTTTGGTTTCCACATACTATCTTTGATATCCAGTATCTACCAAACATTATATAATTACATTCTCGAGGTATTCCTATCACAGGAGCTATTAAATCTACCAGAAGATATGTAATTGCATGAATGTTTTTAGCTCACCTGGCCCAAAGTGCCAATTAAGCTTTTCACATCACTTGGCATCTGTCGTTGTCCCTCATCATTAACTTTTACAAAAATCTTTTTCTCTGAAACTACTGATCCAAATTTAACCAAACTTGGCCACAATCATCATTAGGGTATTTAATTTTAAAAAGGTGTCCAATGACCCCGCCTGCCAACCAAGATGGCCAACATGGCTAAAAATAGAATATAGGGGTAAAATGCAAGTTTTGTCCATTATCTTGAAAACCACTATAAAAAGAGCAAATCTGAAACGGGTAGAAATGTTTGGAACGATGAGATCTCCCTATTGTTCATTTACTTCCAAACTGTCAGACAACTTTATAAAAGTTATTGCCCTTAAATGATGAATTTCACCAACTTTTTGTTCTATTATGTTGAAAATTATAATAGATAGAGAGAAACTGTATAGAGCAAAAAATGATCAGCAAGATAAGTTTTACAAAAAATCAACATGGTTGAAATCGTCTGATGACCCCTTATTGGAGTTTTTGCCCTTTAAGGGCATACGATACAGTAGAGATCCCTTGTTGATTTTTTCTTGAAATTTTGGTAGAAGGTCAATTTTAATGTGTACTTTTGAAATGTGCAAAGAAAAATATACCTTCATGACTTACTTTTTGAGATAATTTGGTTCGAAATTTGCATATTTGAAGGAAAAACACTGAAATTGCATAAATAAGGACTTTTAAGGAAAGTAACAATACTTTTGAACGAACAGTCACAATTTAACCGGGTTTTTTGTAAAATGTTCCTTTGAACCACGGCATCAAAATGCTGTAACAAGTTTAAGGTTTAACTTAATTTTTGTTTTTTTAAATTATATTACTATTAGTGAACTAAAGAAATTGACAATATTTTTGCGTCTATTCAGAAGTGATCGTTGATTTTTTCTTAAAATTTTGGCGGAGCGTCCCTGAAACATTCCTTGATTGATTGCAAAAGAAAAAAATGGGGGTCCATGTGCTTGTTTTCTCAATAAAAGCAATAAACCATGAGTTTTAATGGCAAACGGGACGTTTGCCAATAAGGCGCTAAATTACGTTGAAATAAGTTTTAATCGCAACAACGTCGTGAAATCTTTCCCGTCGTTCACGACTACGCTGTCAAGTTCAGTGGTATAGCCAAGGTTTTCTTTTTCGAAATCAATGATATCTATCATCAATATTTATAAAGATAGTTACTCGTAAAGTAGCATAAACTATTTGCCAAACCTTTATGAATTGTTACGAAACTTGGATAGAAAAAGTATTTTAGTAAATTACTTTTAGAAAAGAAATGACCGGAAACAAAAAAAAAATAAATCTAATAAAAAAAAGAAATTTGCATCTCTGTCCTAAATTAGTCCTACATTTCATGTAGACAACACAGCTTGAGCATACATATAATTATTCAAAAGGCCCCGACATGACAAACAGTTATAAATTACAAAAAAAAAGTAAATGGGATAATATAAAAATAAGGACATTTGGTATGAGACAACTTTATCAATCATAGTTCAAATGACGAAGATAAACACAATTAAATGTCACCGTACGGCCTTCGACACACAAAAAAGCCACATTTATTTCGTATTTGTCTCATCTCAATATATATAGTCCATTGCGGTGTAGTATAATATTTCATAGGAAGTACAGCAGTCGATATTAGAGCATACCATTGCATGATTCTGTATCAATAGATAGGTTACCTTAGCTTGTATTCAGGCAGGGTATTTTTTATTACGGTACATATTTGTCTGTATTATACCTCCAATCTAGCATTGGGTGCAACACCATTGTTTGTCATTCCATCCGGTGGTCCAACAAATTTTTGTTTCTTATCTGATAAACTACCTTACGGAAAGACTTCGTATTTGGTCAGTAGCTTAACGACAGTGAGTTGCAACTTGTAAACACTTTTCTTGTCTGTCAGATACCTAATTCCGGTGTGCCGATACTTTGATTGTTTTCTCTCAATATGTACATAGGGGATAAGTTTAGCGCATGAACGGGTACGTTTTTGTTTTGGTCTGTAATACGTACGGGGCTCATAACTGTGTTTACTTAACTGAGAGTTATTCTTCATACACATATAAATATTCCACTGGGTTAGTTCTAAAAATGCCGTTAAACTTTTTAATGTACCTATTCAAAGTCAGGAACAGTATGAGGCGTTGTCTTTATTTCTTATGTTATTTTAACATTTTGTTGATAGTCTGTTTAATTTATCCGTACAATTGTCATACGATTTAGAGCTTGCCAAATGGTGTATATATAGATACTATATTATGGTCAAGACAGTACGTTGAATTATTTATTGGGCTTTTTGTGTAGTTGGGTTTCTGTCTCCTCGACGTATTATTCTATTTACATATCTTTTATTCATTTCCTATATGAAATAAAACACATACAAAACTATGACTGTGGATTTGATTTTTTTTCACATTTCAAGTAAATACTGTTGACTTCATTACTAATGAATAGATATTACAATTTTCGTGATATGGTCAATTTTTTTAGCAGGTGCCTTTTTTCAAATTCGCGCAATCGGATTATGACGTCAGTGGATTTTTCCGCAAATGTGACTACATCTAAAGCGACGTCGCAAAATGTAATCATTCTTTTAAGAAACATCGCGAAATTACAACGTTCTGATTAACAACATCGCGAAAACAACACGAAAAGTTTTGAAAACGTTATTATCTGCCCTTGCTACTGTATCGTATGCCCTTAATGACAGTTTTTACTAATTTTTTGTGTTTTTGCCTAATATCTGAAAAAGTATAATAGATAGATAGAAACTTAAATAGGCAAAAATGATCTTCAAGACAAGATCTACAAATAAGTTGAATAGTTGAAATAGTCTGACGACCCCTTATTGGAGTTATTGCCCATTAATGATGGTTCTGACCAATTTTTTGCATTTTTGCCTTGTATCTGAAAAACTATAATAGATAGACCGAAACTTTAATAAGCAAAAATGATCAGCAAGACAGGATCTACAAATAAGTCAACATGGTTTTAATCATCTGATGACCCCTTATTGGAGTTGATCTCTTTAATAATAATTTTTATCATTTTTATACGACCGCAAAAATTAAAATTTTTTGGGTCGTATATTGGTATGACGTTGCCGGCGTCGTTGTTGTCGTCGTCGTCATCGTCGTCCAAAGACACATTGGTTTTCGCACTCTAACTTTAGTTTAAGTGAATGGATCTCCATGAAATTTTACCATAAGGTTCAATACCACAAAAGGAAGGTTGGGATTGATTTTGGGGGTTATGGTACCAACAGTTAAGGAATTAGGGGCCAAAAATAAGCATTTTTGTAACTTCCAGACATAACTTGTGTGTTAGTGTATGGATCTTTCTGAAATTGAACTACAAGGTTCCATATCACAAAGGGAAAGCTGGAATTGAGTTTGGGGGTAATTGCCTGAAACGTTTAGGAATAAGGGGCCAAAAAGGGGCCAAAAATAGCTTTTTTCTAGTTTCCAGACTATAACTTGTGTTCAAGTGTATGGATCTCTCTGAAATTGTACTGCAAGGTACCATGCCACAAAGGGAAGGCTGGGATTGATTTTGGGGGTAATTGCCTCAAAATTTTAGGAAAAAGGGGCAAAAAACAAGCATTTTTCTAGTTTCAGGACAATAACTTGTGTGTTAGTGTATGGATCTTTATGAAATTGTACTACAAGGTTGCATATCACAAAAGGAAAGCTGGGTTTGAGTTTGGGGGTAATTGCCCTAAATGTTTAGGAATTTGGGGCCAAAAAGGGGCCTAAAAACAAGCATTTTTTTAGTTTCCAGACAATAACTTGTGTTCAAGTGTATGGATCTCTCTGAAATTGTACTGCAAGGTACCATACCACAAAGGGAAGGCTGGGATTGAGTTTGGGGGTGATGAATCATAAGGGGGTTCAAAAAATTTAGGGGAGGGATTTTTTTTTTCTTTAAAATTTTCCATTTTAAATTGGTTATTTCTGATTTATATATAAAAGCAAATAATAATGATATGGTTTGAATAGGTAAATTAAAAAATTTTAAGTTCTTAGACCAAATTCATTCTGTGTCAGAAACCTATGCTGTGTCAAATATTTAATCACAATCCAAATTTAGTGCTGTATCAAGCTTGAATGTTGTGTCCATACTTGCCCCAACTGTTCAGGGTTCGACCTCTGCGGTCGTATCAAGCTGCGCCCAGCGGAGCATTTTATTTTGCATTGTTGCCTTCTATCAGAAAAACTATATTAGATAGATAGAAACTTTAATAAGCAAAAATGATCAGCAAGACTAAATCAACAAAGAAGAGATTTTTGTCATGAATTCTATTGTAGTCCACAAAGATGGAGAGTATCCATTGTTGAAGATGCACATAGACCTAGGTGAGCGACACAGGCTCTTTAGAGCCTCTAGTTTGTAATTGCATTACCGGATTTCTTTAGTTGTAACTAGGCTAATGTGTCTTTGATGCTTCCTGAATTTGTGCACCTCCCATGGAGTCTTTGTAACTTATGATTCATGGTTAAGTTGTAATGTTACATCTCTATATAATGGTAGAATATATTTTTTTCTTTTTTTCTTCAGGTAATGAATTTTTCTGCAGAAGAAGTTGCATCATACATTGCTTTAGTTGGTGTCTTATCTGTTGTTGCTCAAGTAAGCTTTATTCTTAGCTACGTAGTCAAATATAATTACCTTTTTTATGTACAATTTATTACTGGTTGCTAAATGGTCAGCGGAAATTATTTTTTACTTTATTGATAAAGCAAGGATTTATTGTGTTAAGATGGGGTTTAATTTTCTGACTATACTAATCTATTAACATTTCAGTCAAGATTTATTTTTAAGAACACTTTTGTACTCTGGATTGGTCAAATTAGTCTGACTAGATGGGTATTGACCAGTAAATGAAATTTTATGCATGATCAATTAAACAAATTTCTGGAAGTTTTTAAATTTATTAAATGATGGATACAGATAAATCAGTTAAAATTATTGGTGTAAATTGAATGTCAAACAATTTTAATGGCTTCTTCTGATAAAAATGGAAATAAAGAGATTACATATTAGATTCCTAGACAGTTTAATGTTACATTTCATTGTTGATAAATTCCTGCTGACAGTTTCATTTTTCTTTCAGACATTAATATTGACATTTTTAATGAGATATTTAGGCCATAAAGCTTCTATCATGTTTGGTTTGGTGTTTGAAATATCACAGCTAATCTGTTATGGTTTTGGTTCACAAACATGGTAAGTGTTATAAATTATCTTATTGGTTGATGAAAGTAACAAAATAGTATTGAGATTCAGATGTTAGTTGAAAAATTGAAAGATACAAGAAATATTTTTTTTATGCCCCCGTAGCAGAGGGATCATTAAGTTTTACCCTTGTTTTTTTTTTAAATAAGGAAATATTGTTAAAAAATGGAACAGCAAAAATATGTATATTTTCTGTACATGAAACAACATCACTGTAGATAAAAAGAGTTATTTTTATGCCCCACCTACGATAGAAGAGGGGCATTATGTTTTTCGGTCTGTGCATCCTGTTCGTCCATCCGTTCGCCCGTCTGTCCCGCTTCAGGTTAAAGTTTTTGGTCAAGGTAGTTTTTGATGAAGTTGAAGTCCAATCAACTTGAAACTTAGTACACATGTTCCCTATGATATGATCTTTCTAATTTAAATGCCAAATTAGAGTTTTGACCCCAATTTCATGGTCCACTGAACATAGAAAATGGTAGTGCGAGTGGTGCATCCGTTTACTATGGACACATTCTTGTTTTGTGAGTGTTATTTACTTCTAAATATAATGACATATTTTATATTTCAAAAGTATTTCTAAGCACAAAATGTGGGACAATTTTATAGTTCATACTCCAGCGACTGAATTAATTAGCAATGTTGCTGTCCTCAGTCCATCAGATTGTCTTTTTCTGAATTTTCTGTTGACAGGCAAGACATATCTCTGTGTAAACAGTTTATTTTTAATGGAAATAAAACAGTAGTCTGACATAATGATGATCACCAGTATATTGGGTATTTTTTGTCTTGTAGAAAATGTTATCGAGATAATCTAGCGTTTCTGTCGCATTATAGTAATACAAAACTGTAACATATCACAATTGAAATTATATCTACTAAAACAATATAACCAGAACAACCTGATAGAAAGCATGTTTAAATCTTGATTTATTTTATGTTTCTACTTTAAATGTTTTAATTGTATTGCGTAATATGATGTTTTTAAGATGATTTATAGTCCTCTTATGTAATATTTCAACCTATAATCCTCTTGTGTAATATAACATGTATTAATTCATCATCTTAACATCATACTTTTGCATAATCAATTTCTTATCTCAATTTTTTTTACAATAAAATGATTTACTTCTAGGATAATCTGGATGGCTGGTTGTATTGCTGCTATGTCCAGTGTAACTTATCCTGCAATCAGTGCATTTGCATCAGAACATGCTGCTCCCGACCAACAGGGTAAGAATATCAACAAAAGTTTGCATGATACGGAAATAATGTGTCTGATATTGTTGGAAGTCGACCAAACTCCACACCTTATTTGCCCTTTGAGCTCATTATACAAATCAAAAGAAATAAATATTATGTAAGGAATGATTTAATATGGCATGTTTAAAGTCTTATCTATGACAGACTGTCGTAATGCTTTTTGTCCTTAATGTATTACAGATATATCGAAAAGTTTATCTGTAAAATCCAATCATTTCTTATTTTTTCCTCAAATTCTGAGACAGTTAGAAAGGTTTATGGTACACTTGGGAGAGAAGTAAATATGAAATATATTATATAGTTGTTATCAAATTATTAAGTCCAAGTTTCCAGTTAAGTTTATGTATTGTCTGAACAAATATCACGTTTATTGACATTAAGTTTACATGAAAAATGTGTATTGTCTGTTTATTAGAACACAATAGGATGTCTATTAAGAGAGTCCATTGAAGTGCATTTGTAGTTCATTCTACAAAAAAATGTATATGGTTAAAGTTCATTCTCTAGATGTGGTTGTAAAATGTTAAAAAAAAAACCCTAAGGGCTATTCCATTAAAACACAGTGTACCCAGGGAAGGTACTTTGAAAATAGAGTTACCACCCATAGAAGTAATTTTAGAGACCTGCATATATTTGAAACTTTTCAACATAATATTTCACACCAACCCATAGAGGCAAATTCAACTTACCTTCCTTTCATCCCATGTATTTTTTTATGGAACAGCCCTAAACTTGCATTTTTAAAGGCAGTGCTTTAATGCCTTTCTAGTTGCCGGGTTAATCCTTCCTTCCGCGATATCCAACTTATCTACGTGGGGGGTCATTAGACTCTAAGTAGATCCGGAAATATTGAATTATCTCCTCTTCTTATTGCGATATAAAATGTTTTTTGTTTCATTTCATTTACATTGGGAAATAGAGAAACGATCATTGTGTTTTGTTAGTTTTAAAAACTTTTGATATATTAGTATTTTGCATTATAAGCAGTCAACCGATTGACAAACTAGAATTATTTGAATTCCGTGTGGAAAGAGCTCGGGTTAATTTCGAGTGTTATCTGCAATCTAGATGTTTATAAATCGTTTCAGTCGTTGATATAATAATTAAAGGTCGACTGAACATGAATTATATTATACAATTTAAAGCGCATTTCTGTTTATGCACGTGAACCCGTCTAACGTTATTTTCGCAGTTATAAAAAGTAGAAAATTATCGTTCCTGAATAGGTGGCGCCGTGGTAGCGGATCCTGTTCCTCTTCTTCCGGTTTCTGCACTGTGCAACTATTTCAGTTATATTTTTAATTAACGATGCCAAGTACTTGTTGTTGTGTACCTGGATGTCATTTAAGAGGAGGACATGCATTTCCAAATGACTTAAAAAGAAGGAAAAGTTGGATCAACGCCATGGCCCATACGCAGATTGGACGAGAACACGATGATATCGTGGAGTCCATCTCAATCAGCTGTTGTTTGCAAGGCACGTTTTACTGAAAAAGACTACGTGCAGGAAACTATTCATGGTAAAACTCTATTTTCTTTGTGAAATATATAGTTATATATGTAATCTCCATGCGAATAAACCAAAGTCTGTTTACAACCGCAATTATCGTTTTAGAATAAAAGGGGGTGGGTAATTCAAGACGTCATAATTTTTTGGATTACGATTCAATGTGATCTGTTTGAGATTTTTTGGTGATTGCTACAATTATAATGATTTCTTACAAGAGGTATATCATACTGAGAATTATTTTAGCAGTAATTATGCTAATGTAGTAATGACAGGAATGCATAAGCTATGCCTCATAGACTTTCTTGAAAAATATCAATGACAATGTTAACAGGAACAAAACAATGACATGCTCTCATCTATATTATAGTTATTTAGGTACAAACAATGTACGTTTGTTGCATTAGTCTCTCATTGTTTGTCCTTTGGATTTACATAACATACATTGAATCAGGCAAACATAGTTTTATCCAGATTGTAATGAATAAATCTAGTTAATATTTCGCCAGGTAGTACAAAGTATACATTGCTAATGGAAGTTCATTTAATTATAAAAAATCTAATGTTTTGTAACCTTTTTCAGGGCGCAAACCCACCATACAGAGACTTAAGTCTACTGCAATTCCCAGCCTATTTTCCTGGACCAAGCAAGAGACTGGATCGTCCGCAAAAAGAAAAATCAGGGCAGTTTCCTGTGAAAACAAAAGAACTAAACTTGATGAATATTGTACATGTAGTAGAAATCTAGAGGAAAGTTTTGATTGTGAAGTTGGTTTTCCTGAAGAAGTCATTCATACTGCAGAAAGGATTTATGACTGTCCACCACCAACTGCCGAGCTAATGTTGAGCTTCACAGATGGAATTACGCAAACACCATCAATGCCTATGTTTTCAGCAGAGAATTTTGAAATGAAGACACGTGACACAGCCATGCATTTTTATACCGGTTTAGAGTTGTATACTAAATTTTTATTTGTTTTGACCACACTTGGTCCAGCAGCACATTGTTTGAGATACATATATTTTCAAATTGATAGGGTGTCAGTTGAAAATCAGTTTTTTTATGACTTTGATGAAATTGAGGCATCATACAACCAACTTTGAACTGTCTAGATTCTAGATTGAATCTAGTGTTAAGAATATTGTGTATACATGGATTATTTTTATGTCTAAACAGTGGTGTGAGGCTAACACTTGGCCATCTAGTGGTTTAGTCAGGTATTTTTCACCATCCAACTTCAAATTAAAGTTTCCTACGACTTGGATTATTATTGACAGCACAGAATATCCCGTGATAAAACCTAAAGCTCCTAGAGCTCAGGCAACCTTTTCATCAAATAAAAACAGAAACACTGAAAATTCTTGAATGTTCGACACCTGGTGGTCTCTATGTCACATAGAGCGAATTATTGGACTTGGCAAAACATACAAAATTCTAATAAATCCTATGAATGAAACTGAAACAAAACTTTCATCTGAAATAACATTTAGTTGTTGTATGTTGTGTAATTTTAGAACTTGTATTGTGCCAAAGGATGCATAAATAAAAGTGACGCAATGAATTTTGTTCTGATATATATATATTTACAATTACATGCACATGTAAATTGTAATGCATATAAAAATAAGGAGATGTGGTATGATATTCAGTGAGTTTATCAAACTAAAGTGCATAAGAAATGGGTTTAAGCAGTTACAGGTGTTACTGTCACCGTACAATCTCCAACAATGAGAAAAACTCGTACCCTGTAAAAAATTTCAGAGATCTTACAACTAAGTTTTGTTGTCTCACCTTGACTTTGGTGAAATTTTTATATCTGTTGATGTAAATATAAAAAAGAAGATGTGGTATGATTGCCAATGAGACAACTCTCCACACATGCACAAGAGACCAAATGACACAGAAATTAACAGCTATAGGTCACAGTACGGCCTTCAACAATGAGCAAAGCCCATACCACACAGTCAGCTATAAAAGGCCCAGAAATGACAATGTAAAACAATTCAAACAAAAAAAACTAACGGCCTATTTTATTTTAAAAAAATGAACAAATATAACAAATATGTAACACATAAACAAACGACAACCACTGAATTACACTTTTATAGGCTCCTGACTTGGGACAGGCACATACATGTACATACAGAATTTGGCGGGCTTAAACATGTTAGCGGGATCCCAACCCTCCCCCTAACCTGGGACAGTGGTGTAACAGTACAATATTAGAAAGAACTATAAAAATCAGTTAAAAGAGGCTAAACTCATCAGATGGATAAATACAAATACAAGTGGACGTGGTCGGGTAGTTGTACATCCAAACAACAAAAAGACACTAAGTACAAATCTGAGAGTACTCGCAGTTACTGACAGCTAGTTCAAAGCCACTAACAACTGATAAAAAAATCTTGCATCTAAGACTAAATTATCAATCCGTAAGCTCCCTTTAGAATTTTATAAATTTTAGATTTTACATTTCTGAGTTATGGGGTTTTATTCATTAAAAAAGGGGGGATTTTCCAGTTTTTGGACAACTCAAAAAATGCTTTAAGCAGTTCACATGAAACTTTGGTGAATTTTTTATAGCTATTGATGTAATCTCCCTATTGATTTTCATAAATTTCAAATATGACATTGAGACGAAATTGAACTTTATTTGTTTATAGTCTGGCAACAGATTTATTAAGTATTGCACAACAGCACAGTGTATTGCACAACAGCAAGAAATCTTTAATTGAATATAAATTCAATTCATATAACCGATTTCAAGTTCATTGACTACATTTATTCAGAAACTATAATATGTCAAATATTTAGTTACAATCCAAATTCAGACCTGTATCAAGCTTGAATATTGTGTCCATTTTTGCCCCAGCTGTTCAGGGTAGTACCTCTGCGTGTGTTAGCGAATCAGTTTATTTCTTAATTAAGAACTCCTTTTTATACGACCGCAAAAAAATTTTGTGGTCGTATATTGGTATGACGTCGGCGTCGTCATCCGAAGACACATTAGTTTTCGCACTCTAACTTTAGTTTAAGTGAATGGATCTCAATGAAATTTTAAAATAAGGTTCAATACCACAAAAGGAAAGTGGGGATTGATTTTGGGGGTTATGGTACCACCAGTTAAGGAATTAGGGGCCAAAAATAAGCATTTTTGTAACTTCCAGACATAACTTGTGTGTAAGTGTATGGATCTCACAAGGTTCCATATCACAAAGGGAATGCTGGGATTGATTTTTGGGGGTAATTGCCTCCAAATTTTAGGAATTAGGGGCCAAAAAGGGGCAAAAAACAAGCATTTTTCTAGTTTCATGACAATAACTTGTGTGCAAGTCTATGGATCTCTCTGACATTGTATCACAAGGTTCCATATCACATAGGGAATGCTGGGATTGAATTTGGGGGTAATTGCCTCCAAATTTTAGGAATTAGGGGCCAAAAAGGGGCAAAAAACAAGCATTTTTCTAGTTTCATGGCAATAACTTGTGTGTAAGTGTATGGATCTTTATGAAATTGTACTACAAGGTTCCATATCACAAAGGGAAAGCTGGAATAGAGTTTGGGGGTAATTGCCCAAAAAGTTTAGGAATAAGGGGCCAAAAATAAGCATTTTTCTAGTTTCCAGACAATAACTTGTGTTCAAGTGTATGGATCTCTCTGAAATTGTACTGCAAGGTACCATACCACAAAGGGAATGCTGGGATTGATTTTGGGGGTAATTGCCTCCAAATTTTAGGAATTGGGGGCCAAAAAGGGGCAAAAAACAAGCATTTTTCTAGTTTCATGACAATAACTTGTGTGTAAGTCTCTGGATCTCTCTGACATTGTATCACATGGTTCCATATCACAAAGGGAATGCTGGGATTGAATTTGGGGGTAATTGCCTCCAAATTTTAGGAATTAGGGGCCAAAAAGGGGCAAAAAACAAGCATTTTTCTAGTTTCATGACAATAACTTGTGTGTAAGTCTATGGATCTCTCTGACATTGTATCACAAGGTTCCATATCACAAAGGGAATGCTGGGATTGATTTTGGGGGTAATTGCCTCCAAATTTTAGGAATTAGGGGCCAAAAAGGGGCAAAAAAACAAGCATTTTTCTAGTTTCATGGCAATAACTTGTGTGTAAGTGTATGGATCTTTATGAAATTGTACTACAAGGTTCCATATCACAAAGGGAAAGCTGGAATAGAGTTTGGGGGTAATTGCCCAAAAAGTTTAGGAATAAGGGGCCAAAAATAAGCATTTTTCTAGTTTCCAGACAATAACTTGTGTTCAAGTGTATGGATCTCTCTGAAATTGTACTGCAAGGTACCATACCACAAAGGGAATGCTGGGATTGATTTTGGGGGTAATTGCCTCCAAATTTTAGGAATTGGGGGCCAAAAAGGGGCAAAAAACAAGCATTTTTCTAGTTTCATGACAATAACTTGTGTGTAAGTCTATGGATCTCTCTGACATTGTATCACATGGTTCCATATCACAAAGGGAATGCTGGGATTGATTTTGGGGGTAATTGCCTCCAAATTTTAGGAATTAGGGGCCAAAAAGTGGCAAAAAACAAGCATTTTTCTAGTTTCATGGCAATAACTTGTGTGTAAGTGTATGGATCTTTATGAAATTGTACTACAAGGTTCCATATCACAAAGGGAAAGCTGGGTTTGAGTTTGGGGGTAATTGCCCTAAACGTTTAGGAATTTGGGACCAAAAAGGGGCCAAAAAACAAGCATTTTTCTAGTTTCCAGGCAATAACATGTGTTCAAGTGTATGGATCTCTCTGAAATTGTACTGCAAGGTACCATACCACAAAGGGAAGGCTGGGATTGAGTTTTGGGGTGATGAATCATAAGGGGGTTCAAAAAATTTTGGGGGGGGGGCGGGATTCTTTTTCCTTTTTTTTCTTTAAAATTTTCCATTTTAAATTGGTTATTTCTGATTTATATATAAAAGCAAATAATAATGATATGGTTTGAATAGGTAAATTAAATTTTTTTAAGTATCTTAGACCACTTTCATTCTGTGTCAGAAACCTATGCTGTGTCAAATATTTAATTACAATCCAAATTCAGTGCTGAATCAAGCTTGAATGTTGTGTTCATACTTGCCCCAACTGTTCAGGGTTCGACCTCTGCGGTCGTATCAAGCTGCACCCCAGCGGAGCATTTTATTTCATTCATAAATTACTTTATGCTTGGAAATATAATTTTGCTTGGAGTTGAAAGAGTTGACATGTTGCAATGTGCATTTACTCTACATAGTTCTATGGTACCAAATCAAAAGTTTATATAAAGAAAGAAGTCAAAGGTTTCCCATCATAGTTTAGTTACATACATTTTTTTTGTACCTGAGGTCGTTGAATATAGATCATTATATAAATAAGGAGATGTGTTATGATTGCCAATGAAAAAACTAAGGATTTTCTTATCCAAGGAATAGATTTCCTTAGCCGTATTTGTCACAACTTTTTGGAATTTTGGGTCCTCAATGCTCTTCAACTTTGTACTTGTTTGGCTTTGTTACTATTTTGATCTGAACGTCACTGATGAGTCTTATGTAGACGAAACACACGTCTGGCGTATTAAATTATAATCCTGGTACCTTTGATAACTAATTTGACTATAAACATAGATAAAAAAAGGTACAAACTGGACATAATGCACTAGTTCATAAACAAGTGAGAACAATCACCTTCATATAGTGCTCAGAATATGACATTCATAAAACTTATTCAATATCATTAGAGAACTCTAAATCTTAAATACTGAAAGCCACCTCTGATAAGTACACTGTACTATGCAAGATAATGATATAACTGGACTTAAAATACACACAACCTGTAATTAACTGCCTTTACAGCGCTTTCGTGCTTTGATTTGAAAAAGGTTACAGCAAAATAAAAACTTTTATGCAATTAAAATAGCTCAAAAAGGTATATTAAAAAAAGAAATCTTTTCAAACAAAAGTTATTATTTCCCAGAGTGTGAAAATTGAGAAATTTGCTGTATTTGAAGAATTTTTAAAGAGTGCTTTTAACCCCCCTGCATACATTAAACCACTGAAAAGATTGCAAAGAATATTTCAAAGAGTAGTAGAACGTAATGATATTGTGCACCTTCTAATCTGATTTATTTCATTCCAATGATCTTTTGGGTTTCCCATTTCAAAATATGGACTTTGCTTTTATGGGTTTCCCATATCAAAATATGGACTTTGCCTTTAGGAGTTTCCCATTTCAAAATATGGACTTTGCCTTTATGGGGTTTCCATATCAAAATTTAGACTTTGCCTTTATGGGATATCAAAATATGGACTTTGCCTTTATGGGTTTCCAATTTCAAAATATGGACTTTGCCTTTATGAGTTTCCCATTTCAAAATATGGACTTTACCTTTATGGGTTTCTCATTTTAAAACATGGACTTTGCCATATCTGTACAGTATGTTGGTGAAATGTTTAAATGACTACTGAAGTGCATATCCATCAAATAAATCCTAAAACTTTTAATATATCATGGAAATCTTTATTCTAAATATTTCATGATATTCATAATTGATTTTCAGGCTTTAGTGTGTCACCTTTCAAATTTGACTATATCAACAAATGATATGAACATAAGTTTTCACAGAAATTCTGGAGTTGGGACTATAGCGACATTGACCCATTTTATTGATTTATTTATAGGTGCAGCACAAGGTCTTATAACTGGTATTAGAGGATTATGTAATGGACTTGGTCCAGCAGTGTTTGGATGTATTTTCTTCTTGTTTGGAGTAGATTTAAATGAAGAGAATGCAACTAAATCAGCAAATACATCTCATGTTCATGATGCTTTTAGGGTAAGTCGAAATAACAGAGGTTCTTTTACTATTATGCTGAAAACTTGCGTACGGTATGCAGGACACTTTAAATAAATATTTAGGAATACAGATGACCGAGCTGAGTTACTTAATTTTAGTTTAAATGAATTTATAAGTATATTAAATATTCTTATGATTGGAACAACCATTGTTAGCTTTTATCAAAGACCATTGATAAACTTTTCTATGAAATTGAATTTTTCCGCCAGTCTATTAATATTTGTAATTCTGGGTCAATACAAAGGGAGACAACACTAATAACATACACCTGAATTAGTTGTCAGTAATTATAGATTACACAGAATGCCAAAGGATATAGATGGGTGTAATTTGAAGACTAATCAATGGTAAAATGCAAATGGATATGTCTTTACAACTAAGTATCTAGTTTGAATATTTGTGACATCAAGGATTCTGTGGTTGGGAAAAATTTTATTTTCAAAAGTGCATACAGGGGTTTTTCATATGCATGAATATTTAAAGGTGAAGACATTTGTTAACTTTTTAATTAACCTTTTAAACTTTGTTGTCCCTTCTGAACAGATGATTTTTGTCGAGCCTTCGACTTTTGTCGAAAAAGCGAGACATAGCGATCCTACATTCCGTCGGCGTCGTCGTCGGCGGCGTCCACAAATATTCACTCTGTGGTTAAAGTTTTTGAAATTTTAATAACTTTCTTAAACTATCCTGGATTTCTACCAAACTTGGACAGAAGCTTGTTTATGATCATAAGATTATATTCAAAAGTAAATTTTGTAAAAAAAAAATTCCATTTTTTCCGTATTTTACTTGTAAGTGGACTTAGTTTTTCTGCCAGTTAACATTACATTCACTCTGTGGTTAAAGTTTTTAAAATTTCAATAACTTTCTTAAACTATCCTAGATTTCTACCAAACTTGGAAAGAAGCTTGTTTATGATCATAAGATAGTATCCAGAAGTAAATTTTGTAAAAAAAAAAATCCATTTTTCCGTATTTTACTTATAAATGGACTTAAGTTTTTCTGCCAGGAAACATTACATTCACTCTGTGGTTAAAGTTTTTGAAATTTTAATAACTTTCTTAAACTATCCTGGATTTATACCAAACTTGGAAAGAAGCTTGTTTATGATCATAAGATAGTATCCAGAAGTAAATTTTGTAAAAAAAAAAATTCCATTTTTCCGTATTTTACTTATAAATGGACTTAGTTTTTCTGCCAGTTAACATTACATTCACTCTGTGGTTAAAGTTTTTAAAATTTTAACAACTTTCTTAAACTATCCTGGATTTGTACCACACTTGGACAGAAGCTTGTTTATGATCAAAAGCTAGTATCTAGAAGGAAATTTTGATAAAATTTTGTTCCATTTTTTCTGTATTTTACTTATAAATGGACTTAGTTTTTCTTCCAGTCAACATTACATACATTCTGCAGTTTAAGTTTTTAAAACATTTATTAGATTCATAAATTATCCTGGATTTTTACCAAACTTGGACAGAAGCTACTTACAATCAAAACATAGTATAGAGGGGAATATTTTTATTAATTTTTTTCCTCATTTTTGTTGAGCCTGCGATTAACACCAAAAGTAGGCGAGACACTGGGTTCCGCGGAACCCTTACGAATTTTTAATCTGATAATGTTATTTTTTAAATTGATATTTGGATAACTGGGGGAGAGGTTATTTAAACTCCCATATGAACTCCCGTATGATCTGACTTTTCAATTATCTTTTATGAGATTTCTGGGTTAATTTTTGTAACTAATTTATAGCACTTTTTCATAAAAGGTAATACAGTACTGTATAATAAAATATCAATTCAAATCATATTTTGATAGAGTGACATATTAAACTAATGCTTATTGTTTCTAGGAGATGGTTCCAGGACCCCCATTTGCCTTTGGTGCAATATTAGTCATAATGGCCTTTCTTGTGGCCATTTTTATTCCAGAAAATCCCCATTCATCATCCATTGCAGGCAGGAAAAAGTCTGCAAAACTAAACGAGTCTTTCAACAATGGTACAGGTAAGGAGACAATATGTTTGCTTTAGATAAAAAGAATATGATAAAACACATTCTGGAGTTGTTGGAATACCTTTTATAAGTGTTTACATCAAGATTTATTTTAGGACAAACATTTAAAGCCTGGTGAGAACATCCTCCATTTCATTTGAAGAAAATTCTTTAAATTCATGATTGTTTGGGATCTTTTTATTATTGCAATAAATGCAACAGAATAATTTTCTCTAAAATAAGAAATCACATTTGAAATTTTGAAAGTATTATTTGTATGTAGCATTTCCTGAAATGGCTATAAATAATAATATCCCTATTGTGTTCATTGTTCAACAATCACAATAATATATACATGCAAAAGTTTCAGAATTTACAGGGTGAACTCTTTACCTTCAAATGGTCCATACTATTTGTTTTATAAAAAGACCATCAACCCACTTATATAACAAATATTCTATAGGCTTGTATGCAGACTTCGGCAAAACCACAAAATTAAATATCCACGAACATGTAAGTTTTCCTCAATCCACGAAAATTGGTACCCACGAAAATAAATAAATCCACAGTATTTATAACTTGTCTGTTGAATGAAGAAGTGAGAGATTTACAGTTTGAACTCTTTCCTTTACCTTCAAATGGTCCATACTATTATTTATAACTTGTCTGTTGAATGAAGAAGTGAGAGATTTACAGTTTGAACGCTTTTCCATTACCTATAAATGGTCCATACTATTATTTATAAATTGTTTGTTGAATGAAGAAGTGAGAGATTTACAGTTTGAACTCTTTCCTTTACCTTCAAATGGTCCATACTATTATTTATAAATTGTCTGTTGAATGAAGAAGTGAGAGATTTACAGTTTGAGCTCTTTCCTTTACCTTCAAATGGTCCATACTGTTATTTATAACTTGTCTGTTGAATGAAGAAGTAAGAGATTTACAGTTTGAACTCTTTCCTTTACCTTCAAATGGTCCATACTATTATTTATAAATTGTCTGTTGAATGAAGAAGTGAGAGATTTACAGTTTGAACTCTTTCCTTTACCTTCAAATGGTCCATACTATTATTTATAACTTGTCTGTTGAATGAAGAAGTGAGAGATTTACAGTTGAACTCTTTCTTTACCTTCAAATGGTCCATACTATTATTTATAACTTGTCTGTTGAATGAAGGAGTGAGAGATTTACAGTTTGAACTCTTTCCTTTACCTTCAAATGGTCCATACTATTATTCATAACTTGTCTGTTGAATGAAGAATTGAGAGATTTACAGTTTGAACTCTTTCCTTACCTTCAAATGGTCCATACTATTATTCATAACTTGTCTGTTGAATGAAGAAGTGAGAGATTTACAGTTTGAACTCTTTCCTTTACCTTCAAATGGTCCATACTATTATTCATAACTTGTCTGTTGAATGAAGAATTGAGAGATTTACAGTTTGAATGCTTTTCCTTTACCTTCAAATGGTCCATACTATCATTTATAACTTGTCTGTTGAATAAAGAAGTGAGAGATTTACAGTTTGAACTCTTTCCTTTACCTTCAAATGGTCCATACTATTATTTATAACTTGTCTGTTGAATGAAGAAGTGAGAGATTTACAGTTTGAACTCTTTCCTTTACCTTCAAATGGTCCATACTATTATTTATAACTTGTCTGTTGAATGAAGAAGTGAGAGATTTACAGTTTGAATGCTTTTCCTTTACCTTCAAATTGTCCATACTATTATTTATAACTTGTCTGTTGAATGAAGAAGTGAGAGATTTACAGTTTGAACTCTTTCCTTTACCTTCAAATGGTCCATACTATTATTTATAACTTGTCTGTTGAATGAAGAAGTGAGAGTTTTACAGTTTGAACTCTTTCCTTTACCTTCAAATGGTCCATACTATACATTTATTTCCCGTGCCTGAGGGAGATATGAAGATTTTTTAACCTAAGAAAATTCATATTTCCCCGAGGGCCTCGGCCGAGGGAAATATGACTTTTCGAGGGTGAACAAATCTTCATATCTCCCTAAGCCAAGGGAAATGAATGTTTTATTCCACTGCCATTACTTTGTTTACTCTAAGTAAATGAACATAAAACATTAATTCACATACATTTTTATTAACCGCTTGTTTTCATAACTAAACACGACATAATTTAAAAAATTGATAAACAGTACTGATCAAAAGATAATTATCTATTATTTATGTTTGGATTTTACGTCTGAAATAATTTTGAACACAATAGTGACTTTACTATCGCAATTTAAAAACGTTCAAAACGTTACTTACATTAACCGCGCGTAACGTCGCACAGGCAAGTCCTGATGTTCAGAGTGGAATATGATACTCAGAGGGGAATATGAAGATTTGTTCAGTGTCACTTGGAATGGTCTCAACCAATCAAACATTAATTAAACTATCAAATTTGATATACAGTGGAATAATATTATTTATAACTTGTCTGTTGAATGAAGAAGTGAGAGATTTAGTTTGAAAGCTTTTCCTTTACTTTCAAATGGTCCATACTATTATTTATAACTTGTCTGTTGAATGAAGAAGTGAGAGATTTACAATTTGAATGCTTTTCCTTTACCTTCAAATGGTCCATACTATTATTTATAACTTGTCTGTTGAATGAAGAAGTGAGAGATTTACAGTTTGAACTCTTTCCTTTACCTTCAAATGGTCCGTACTATTATTTATAACTTGTCTGTTGAATAAAGAAGTGAGAGATTTAGTTTGAAAGCTTTTCCTTTACCTTCAAATGGTCCATACTGTTATTTATAACTTGTCTGTTGAATGAAGAAGTGAGAGATTTGCAGTTTGAATGCTTTTCCTTTACCTTCAAATGGTCCATACTGTTATTTATAACTTGTCTGTTGAATAAAGAAGTGAGAGATTTACAGTTTGAATGCTTTTCCTTTACCTTCAAATGGTCCATACTATTATTTATAACTTGTCTGTTGAATAAAGAATTGAGAGATTTACAGTTTGAACTCTTTCCTTTACCTTCAAATGGTCCATACTATTATTTATAACTTGTCTGTTGAATGAAGAAGTGAGGGATTTAAAGTTTGAACTCTTTCCTTTACCTTCAAATGGTCCATACTATTATTTATAACTTGTCTGTTGAATGAAGAAGTGAGGGATTTACAGTTTGAACTCTTTCCTTTACCTTCAAATGGTCCATACTATTATTTATAACTTGTCTGTTGAATAAAGAAGTGAGAGATTTACAGTTTGAATGCTTTTCCTTTACCTTCAAATGGTCCATACTATTATTTATAACTTGTCTGTTGAATGAAGAAGTGAGAGATTTAGTTTGAACGCTTTTCCTTTACCTTTAAATGGTCCATACTATTATTTATAACTTGTCTGTTGAATAAAGAATTGAGAGATTTACAGTTTGAACTCTTTCCTTTACCTTCAAATGGTCCATACTATTATTTATAACTTGTCTGTTGAATGAAGAAGTGAGGGATTTAAAGTTTGAACTCTTTCCTTTACCTTCAAATGGTCCATACTATTATTTATAACTTGTCTGTTGAATGAAGAAGTGAGGGATTTACAGTTTGAACTCTTTCCTTTACCTTCAAATGGTCCATACTATTATTTATAACTTGTCTGTTGAATAAAGAAGTGAGAGATTTACAGTTTGAATGCTTTTCCTTTACCTTCAAATGGTCCATACTATTATTTATAACTTGTCTGTTGAATGAAGAAGTGAGAGATTTACAGTTTGAATGCTTTTCCTTTACCTTCAAATGGTCCATACTATTATTTATAAATTGTCTGTTGAATGAAGAAGTGAGAGATTTACAGTTTGAACTCTTTCCTTTACCTTCAAATGGTCCGTACTATTATTTATAATTTGTCTGTTGAATAAAGAAGTGAGAGATTTAGTTTGAAAGCTTTTCCTTTACCTTCAAATGGTCCATACTGTTATTTATAACTTGTCTGTTGAATGAAGAAGTGAGAGATTTGCAGTTTGAATGCTTTTCCTTTACCTTCAAATGGTCCATACTGTTGTTTATAACTTGTCTGTTGAATAAAGAAGTGAGAGATTTACAGTTTGAATGCTTTTCCTTTACCTTCAAATGGTCCATACTATTATTTATAACTTGTCTGTTGAATGAAGAATTGAGAGATTTACAGTTTGAACTCTTTCCTTTACCTTCAAATGGTCCATACTATTATTTATAACTTGTCTGTTGAATGAAGAAGTGAGGGATTTACAGTTTGAACTCTTTCCTTTACCTTCAAATGGTCCATACTATTATTTATAACTTGTCTGTTGAATGAAGAAGTGAGGGATTTACAGTTTGAACTCTTTCCTTTACCTTCAAATGGTCCATACTATTATTTATAACTTGTCTGTTGAATAAAGAAGTGAGAGATTTACAGTTTGAATGCTTTTCCTTTACCTTCAAATGGTCCATACTATTATTTATAACTTGTCTGTTGAATGAAGAATTGAGAGATTTACAGTTTGAACTCTTTCCTTTACCTTCAAATGGTCCATACTATTATTTATAACTTGTCTGTTGAATAAAGAAGTGAGAGATTTAGTTTAAAAGCTTTTCCTTTACCTTCAAATGGTCCATACTATTATTTATAACTTGTCTGTTGAATGAAGAAGTGAGAGATTTACAGTTTGAATGCTTTTCATTTACCTTCAAATGATCCATACTATTATTTATAACTTGTCTGTTGAATGAAGAAGTGAGAGATTTACAGTTTTAACTCTTTCCTTTACCTTCAAATGGTCCATACTATTATTTATAACTTGTCTGTTGAATGAAGAAGTGAGAGATTTACAGTTTTAACTCTTTCCTTTACCTTCAAATGGTCCATACTGTTATTTATAACTTGTCTGTTGAATGAAGAAGTGAGAGATTTACAGTTTGAATGCTTTTCCTTTACCTTCAAATGGTCCATACTGTTATTTATAACTTGTCTGTTGAATGAAGAAGTGAGAGATTTACAGTTTGAACTCTTTCCTTTACCTTCAAATGGTCCATACTATTATTTATAACTTGTTTGTTGAATGAAGAAATGAGAGATTTACAGTTTGAACTCTTTCCTTTACCTTCAAATGGTCCATACTGTTATTTATAACTTGTCTGTTGAATGAAGAAGTGAGAGATTTACAGTTTGAACTCTTTCCTTTACCTTCAAATGGTCCATACTATTATTTATAACTTGTCTGTTGAATAAAGAAGTGAGAGATTTAGTTTAAAAGCTTTTCCTTTACCTTCAAATGGTCCATACTATTATTTATAACTTGTCTGTTGAATGAAGAAGTGAGAGATTTACAGTTTGAACGCTTTTCCTTTACCTTTAAATGGTCCATACTATTATTTATAACTTGTCTGTTGAATAAAGAAGTGAGAGATTTACAGTTTGAAAGCTTTTCCTTTACCTTCAAATGGTCCATACTATTATTTATAACTTGTCTGTTGAATGAAGAAGTGAGAGATTTAGTTTAAAAGCTTTTCCTTTACCTTCAAATGGTCCATACTATTATTTATAACTTGTCTGTTGAATGAAGAAGTGAGAGATTTACAGTTTGAATGCTTTTCATTTACCTTCAAATGATCCATACTATTATTTATAACTTGTCTGTTGAATGAAGAAGTGAGAGATTTACAGTTTGAACTCTTTCCTTTACCTTCAAATGGTCCATACTATTATTTATAACTTGTCTGTTGAATGAAGAATTGAGAGATTTACAGTTTGAATGCTTTTCCTTTACCTTCAAATGGTCCATACTGTTATTTATAACTTGTCTGTTGAATGAAGAAGTGAGAGATTTACAGTTTGAACTCTTTCCTTTACCTTCAAATGGTCCATACTATTATTTATAACTTGTCTGTTGAATGAAGAAGTGAGAGATTTACAGTTTGAACTCTTTCCTTTACCTTCAAATGGTCCATACTGTTATTTATAACTTGTCTGTTGAATGAAGAAGTGAGAGATTTACAGTTTGAACTCTTTCCTTTACCTTCAAACGGTCCATTCTATTATTTATAACTTGTCTGTTGAATGAAGAAGTGAGAGATTTACAGTTTGAATGCTTTTCCTTTACCTTCAAATGGTCCATACTATTATTTATAAATTGTCTGTTGAATGAAGAAGTGAGAGATTTACAGTTTGAACTCTTTCCTTTACCTTCAAATGGTCCATAGTATTATTTATAATTTGTCTGTTGAATGAAGAAGTGAGAGATTTACAGTTTGAACGCTTTTCCTTTACCTTCAAATGGTCCATACTGTTATTTATAAATTGTCTGCTGAATGAAGAAGTGAGAGATTTACAGTTTGAACTCTTTCCTTTACCTTCAAAATGGTCCATACTATTATTTATAACTTGTCTGTTGAATGAAGAATTGAGAGATTTACAGTTTGAATGCTTTTCCTTTACCTTCAAATGGTCCATACTATTATTTATAACTTGTCTGTTGAATGAAGAAGTGAGAGATTTACAGTTTGAACTCTTTCCTTTACCTTCAGATGGTCCATACTATTATTTATTATTTGTCTGTAGAATGAAGAAGTGAGAGATTTACAGTTTGAACTCTTTCCTTTACCTTTAAATGGTCCATACTATTATTTATAACTTGTCTGTTGAATGAAGAAGTGAGAGATTTACAGTTTGAATGCTTTTCCTTTACCTTTAAATGGTCCATACTATTATTTATAACTTGTCTGTTGAATGAAGAAGTGAGGGATTTACAGTTTGAACTCTTTCCTTTACCTTCAAATGGTCCATACTATTATTCATAACTTGTCTGTTGAATGAAGAAATGAGAGATTTACAGTTTGAACTCTTTCCTTTACCTTCAAATGGTCCATACTATTATTTATAACTTGTCTGTTGAATGAAGAAGTGAGAGATTTACAGTTTGAATGCTTTTCCTTTACCTTCAAATGGTCCATACTATTATTTATAACTTGTCTGTTGAATGAAGAAGTGAGAGATTTACAGTTTGAATGCTTTTCCTTTACCTTCAAATGGTCCATACTATTATTTATAACTTGTCTGTTGAATGAAGAAGTGAGAGATTTAAATTCAAATATGAATTAAAGATGATACTGACAACAACAACCCAGTAACACTGAAAAAGCATAAACAAATTTTGACATGCATTTAATTATAATAAATTCAGAGAGACGCAATATTTAGTTACATATTCTACTTCTTATGATACGCAATGGGATATTTCATTGCATTTTATGTCAACAGATTCTATTTATTGACATTTGCTATTTAACTTAGGGTTACTCAATGTTTGTAATAACATATGATAGGTATATGTCAATGAGACAGCAACCAAACAACACAAATAACCAAAAAGTGTCAAACAATGACACATAGCAACCAACAACAACCACTGAATTGTAGGCTTGTGACTTGGGACAGGCAAATATAGAATGTGAAGGGTTAAACATGTTTTTGAGCGTTCAACTTTCACCATAACCTGGGAATGTGGTGAAACAGCACAAAATAAGAACAAACTGTTGAAATCAGTTGGAAATGGCTTGACTGAAGTGAGACAACAAAAAAACAACTGACCTAAACACAAAAGGCACAAAGTACCGATCTTAGAATACTCACAGTTAGTGAAAGCTAGTTCAAAGCCAAAAACAACTAATAAATTAATCATGTTCCCCCAGACTTAAGTATCAACCAGTACACATCCAACAGATTTAGTGTAAAGATGTTTGCCTATGATGAATGAGTGTTTTGTATTTTTCAGGTGATGTTAAGATAGAAGCAGAACCCCTATTAAATGACAACAATTTATAGCAGTGACTTAAATCCTTGTGTTCAATCAAGTGGAATATATGTTGTGATGCTTCAGTGGACTTCCATATAATTCATTCTTAACATTAGTGATTTTAGTAGCAAGAAACTGCTTTTCTGTCCATCCTTACATTGTTATTATTCAATATAACGAGACCAATTATCACTTCATTATAATGATGTATTTTTGTAAAATTGTTGATTTTATGACAATTGTACCAGCTATACCCCTCATGGTTTGTAATATGTGAACTGGATGGCTTTAAAAATATTACACAGAAAAAGATGATATGTAAAAAAGTGACAAGTCTTCACATATAAATCTTTACGTGACAGAAGGTTGCATTGTAAAATGCTTGAAATGATAGACTGATGAAGTGCATAGTGATAAATGCATCTTAAATTATATTTTAAGCTTTATAGTCAGTAATGCTTGACCTTTTAAATTTTATAATATCAACAGGTATGTTTTTGAAATTGAACACTTTTCTGCTGTTGATTGAGATATTTTTTTAATATTGTTATTAAAATCAAAATGACTAACATTTGCTGGTATTTTTTTTATTGTTTGTTTCATTGACAATGGACAGGATCACATTATTTCTCGTTATCACTTGTTATGATGCTGAGCTTGATTGTGATATGTACATCAGAATTGTTGTCTTGTCCTGTGTTCATTGTTCTACCTCTTAGGAAATGAAAGAAAACATAAAAATCTCTTTTATTGGATAAAAGTAGAAACTGAATTCATTTAATATAGCAGCTTCATTTTGATTGTGTGATTGAACAGTGCCATGTATAACATATATCTTTCACTCTGTTTCAATGATGAAGGTTTAATTGAATTTCAAAATTCTAATCACTTTCATGAATAATTCTCTTGAAAAAAAGTTCATTTTAAACCTCCACAAATAAGACACAATTAATTTCGATACTAATTTCAATTGATTTTCATAATACAAAATTTGATATCATGGAAAGAAAACTATTTGCTCTGAAATCGTAAATTTGGATGTATGAAAAATTATTAAATTTACATTCACAAGTTTTAAAATATAGATTTCTTTGAAATAATACAGCTTATTTCTTGTCTTCATAAATGTTATTGTCATTAAACAATTACTGTTATACACCAAACAAACTGATTGAGAAAGACAGTTCTATTTTAATCAGAATGTCATCAGGTTTTTAAATGCATATTACTCCTTTTGAAAACATTGGTTTATGTATCTGAGAACATAGATATGAATATTTTAGTCAGAATTCTTAGATAACTCCTATCATTCTCCACATTTCTGTCTCGTCTGTTTCTTGAGCTTTATTATCATTTTCCTATGTTTTAATGTCAACACAGTCATATGTAATTTATCAATACTCATGCATTTTCTTTTCCAAAAGGTTTTTGATTATAGTCTTTAAAATATGCTTAGCAGTAAATACGAATAGAATATATGTGTTAATCATTCTGTATCAACCTTCCATGATGTTACAATATCAGTCACTGTTGCAAAGGCTTTATCAAATCCCTAATCTGTATGTAGTCATGTCATAGTTATCAGTCATGGTTGTTTAGGCTTTTATCAAACCCCTTATCTGTGTTACGAAGTCACATGAAAAAATATCTACTTGAGGTATATAACAAAGTGCATACATGTCTGTATTGCCTTTTCAATATCAGACAATGTAATTTCATCAATTATTTTTTACGATGAGTTTAATACCTCTTTAAAATAAGAGATATTGAAGTAAAATGATACCCATTGCTAACTCTTTTGTATTAATTTAAACCATGCTTCTTTGATAGATCTGTATTTACAATTCATAAAATAGTATTCTGATAGTAAAGTATGAGAAGGTTTAGAACAATTGGTAAAATAGTGCAGTTATTACCAATATAGAAATTTTCAATTTACTCAGTCACTTCTGTAATTAGTCACGAAAATTCTTACTTTGTTGTTGAATTGCAGGCTTTTAGCCACTTAAAAAACACATTATAGGACAAATTACATCCACACTGTCTAGGATGTATCTACTTGTCATGATTTAACAAATTATATTGTAGAGGATTAGTCATAGCAAGCATGCAGAAATACCATCTCTCTCTCTAATGTTTCTAGTCCTATCACTACTGTAGCTGTGTGAACAAAAGAAAGTAAACAATTAGCCATTTCAGAATATATATAAAATGGCACTCAATTATTGATATGTCATATGTTTGATAAGAAAATTTGACACTTCACAACTTTTTAAAAGTCTAAGGGTAATGTCATAGTGGTCACAAAAAAGGAAAAAAAATGTCATATTAGTAGGATAATAGATATTTTTTGTGTAAAAAAGTGTACTTTTCTGAAAATGAAGAGAAAGAACATTCTTGAATAAATTATTAAAATTAACTTCTTATGCTTTCCAAAGTCTTAACTTTTACTTATGATTGTAATGGTGGCTAAGAATTTTATAAATACATGAAATGTAAACAAATGATATATATATTATGTTGAATATCTTGATAACTCACCACATGAGATATAACTTCACATTGTTATATAAGAAGTGTTTGATTACACTTGTGCCAAGTTTTTTATATGACCGCAAAAAATTTTGCGGTCGTATATTGGTATCACGTCGTCAGCGTCGTCCGAAGACATTTGGGTTCCAGACAATAACTTTAGTAAATGTAAATAGAAAACTATGAAATTTAAACACAAGGTTTATAACCACAAAAAGAAGGTTGGGATTGATTTTGGGGGTTATAGTCGTAACAGTTTAGGCATTAGGGGCCAAAAAGGGGCCCAAATAAGCATTTTTCTAGTTTCCAGACAATAACTTGTGGAACGGTTTATGGATCTCTCTGAAATTATACCACAAGTTTCCATACCACAAAGGGATGGTTAGGATTGGCTTTGGGGGGGTTATGGCTCAAACCGTTTAGGAATTAGGGGCCAAAAAGGGGGAAAAACAAGGGTTTCCTGGTTAATGGACAATTAAAAAAAAGTACAATGTTTTTAGAAGTTACTATTTAAAAATGCTGATTAAGGAATATTAATTTTAGCCATGATTATGTATGTCATTTTCTATTTTAAGACTTTTAAGATGTATTTAAATGGGTAATTATGGTTGCAAACTCCATTGGAAATTTGAATTGAGATTATGACCATATCTTGAGGGAAAGAATTTATTTTTTTGGAAAAGGGGGGGGGGGGGGGTAAAAAAGAAATTGTGAGGGGGGGGGATTTTTTCTCATTTCAGATTTCAGAAATTAATAAGAAAATTTCTTTTTTGGGGTGGGGGTGGGGGCAATTCACAACAGCATAGTGTATTGCACAAAAGCAAAAAATTGAATATAAATTCAAATCATATAACCAATTCTAAGGTCTTTGACTACAGTTATGTCAAATATTTAATTACAATCCAAATTCAGACCTGTATCAAGCGCGAATATTGTGTCCATTTTTGCCCCAACTGTTCAGGGTTGGACCTCTGCGGTGGTATCCAGCTGCGCTAGGCGAAGCAATTTATTATTCTATAGTATTATATATGTTTGTATATTGTAGGTTAAAAAGTTATTAGGTGCTTATGTCTGCCTTATTTATTAATGAAAATATAAAATTAATTTGATGTATTTGTGAAAATTAAATTGTTTAAATTTTTCATTTTAATCAAATATACACCCAGGTCAGTGGTCATCAGATTTTCTAAGATCATTGAAAAGTAAACTTTATTCAAATTTCTTTGAGATGATGTTAGGTTTTAATTGTTTAGCATTTTGAATGTTTGATGCTGTACTGTGATAATTTTTCCTGGCATTTTATAGATAGTTTAGGCAGAGACATAGAGTAGTTAGATTTTTATAACTTATTCAGAGTTATTATAAAAAACCAAGAACATTAAATAAATCTACTAAGCAATCAAGCCATGAATATATTTATATTTTTGTCTCCTAATATTTCATTTGTCAGGAGTATAAAAGTGGATAGACATTTGCTTATGGTTTTTAATGGTAGATAACTCAATAAATTGCTGTAAAATATATTGTAAAATGAAAAACTATCTGTTTTATTAAATATATTTTAGTTAAATAAGATATCTAATATTGGCAACTTTTCAAAGGTACATTTTGTATATCACATCATGATAATACAAGGAACTCACCACTTATAATAGATATATATGTTTTTATAAAGTTAAGGAAGATGACACTTGTTGCTTTAAGACAATGACATTAGCATAGATAAAAACTGTCTATCTAATGTATATCATAAGTTTCATTCATTTGTAATCATCAGCATAATTGTTTATTGTTTCTCTCTGTGTATAATGGCATCCAGTTCTTCAATAAAATTTTACTGATTGAATAATTTTATTTTATTTTGAATAGATTCCAGATGTTATATATTTCTATATTGTGCATTATACAGTTCACAGCTATTTAGTTGTATTTATCTATTTGTTCAAATCTAAGAAAAAGTAGAAATGATTCCATTAGAAAAGAGCAACAATGTACAATGTCCTGCTACAAAAATCAAAAAGACTATATCTGGAGAAATGATCTACAATACTAATTACTAATTTTACATGTTCATTGTAAGGACCAAAAAAGGCATTTTTCTAGTTTCTGGACTATAAATTGTGTATAAGTGTATGGATCTCTATGAAATTGTACCACATTTTTAAATAGGTCTACATTGAGGTCCAAAGGGTCCAACATTCGACTTTGTTTGATTTCATCAAAAACTGAATTCTTGTGGTTCTATGATATGCTGAATCTAACTGTGAATTAAGATTTTTAATTTTGGGCCCTGTTTTCAAATTAGTCCAGAGGGTCCAAAATTAAACTTTGTTTGAATTCATGGGGTTTTTTTTATATGCTGAATCTAACCATGGAACTAGATTTTGGATATTGGACCATTAAGTAGATTAAATGTCCCATTTCAAATTTTTTACCGGATTTTCGAAGGAAATATTGGTTATTGATTTGGGGATGTATGGCAGGCGGGTGGGCGGACGGGCGGCTGCCAAACAGTGTCTCTTCAATAAAATGAAAACGCTGTGATGATTTTTTTTCTAATTTAGATATGTTGTTTCTTGTGACTAAATGAAGGTCTAGATCAATTTTCACTATTTTAGTATTTATCCTTTTTGAGTTATCGCCATTTTTAATATCCAAAAGTGGTATTTTTAAATATTTTTCTCTTGTTATCATATTATGACTAAGCATAGTAAATGTCTTATCTCAAAATTATAATTGAAGTGACAGATTTATTTGAAAATTTTCTATTTCCTAAGTGGTGATGATTATAAGCTATATTATTAGACATTTTGAAGTTAATTACATTATTAATTATTATATATGTAATGTTAGAGTACTATGTTAAACCACAGTTTTGTTCAAAAGAATAACCCTTCAGATTTGCAAGTATGATTTTCATTATTAAACCATATATATTCTCGTATGGGAGAATAAAACAAATCAAATGAAATATAGGGGAAGTCCATGGGGGTAACCCCTCCCCTTCTTTTTGATAATTTGTAAACGGTCAAGATCCCT